TACAGGGGGTCACTATAGAATTGGAGACCGAGATTTGAAGTCTCACATCTGAGCAGCACTTTCTGGTTAGGAACAAAATCATCAATGAGAAATAATTGTCTGTATAACTGTTTATATGGACTTAAGCCTAATATCTGGGAAGTGTAATCCCTTGAACTCTTAAAGAAATATATGGATGACTTTACTCTTTGGTTATACCTTCCTTTTGGGTGTATAAGACCATACAGTTGGCCCAAATAAATCAATTTAAGGTCATTTGACTATCTGTTCCTCAGAAGTCACATGGGCTTGGGAGGAGCTCCTGGCTCCTTTATTTTACAGGTTCCATCTATGTGAAGATAAGTCAATAGTCCTGCTCGACTATGTCAATTTCAGAATTTTTTAAGGAAATGGAAGTCTTAAAATTGAAGCATCAGGAAAAGCAAAGCATCAAAAAGTTGAGATAGTACATATCTATATTTTTATGGTTTTTTTCAGTTCTGGGGATGGAACCAAGGTCTTGTATATGCTAAATACACATTTTACCACTGAGCTACATCCTAGCCTGAAATAGTATATTCTGATTAGGATAGATGTATAGGATATAAGTTTAATTTTCATAGCCACATTTTTTGCAGTTTTTGAAATAGGATCTTACTATGTAGCCATGGTTCGACTTGAGCTTAGAGTAATCTTCCTGCCTCAGCCTCCCGTGTGCTGGGGTTACAGGGGTGTGCTACCACACCTGGCTCACATAGCCACTTCTGTTAGGATAATTGTTTCTAAAATATATTCTTGACCTTTGTGGTCCATATAAAGTTTTTGGTTCTATGGATTCCACATACGCTAAAAGACTGTTGATAATAGTGATGATATGGGTGTCACCTGCTTAACTCACAGGAAAACTTAAACCATAGTGTCACATGGGCTTCCCTTGAGCCTCAAATGCCCAGGGATACAATTTGGTAGTTGAAGAATGAATCCATTTCTTAGGAGGTAGGTAAGTACTAACCGAGGTCATAAACTTTATTTAAAATTGGTCAGTTTACCCTCTCCATAACCACAGTGCTATTATCATACTTACACAATGAAATAATGCCTTAACATTATCTAATAGACTCTGTGTGTGTGTGTGTGTGTGTGTGAGAGAGAGAGAGAGAGAGAGAGAGAGAGAGAGAGAGAGAGAGTGTGTGAGTGTGTGAGAGAATTTCCCCAGTTGCCTCAAAAAAGTGTATTTACAGTTGATATGGTTGGAACAGGATCAAACAATGTGTCCACACACTACTTGAGCTTTTGTTACCTTTACTTTTTTCATCCCTCATTCCTTTTATTTATTGAGAGAGAAAAAAAATGCGTCCTGTTCATTTTCTTATTGTGCTGCAAAGTGAATGAGATTGGGAATTTAGATTTTCATGCTAAGAACTGTGCTTGACCATCCCATAGGTATTTATTTATTTTTGTTGAATAATGTTAATAATACTTGAGGTCTGTGCTTTGACCCTGCAGGTTGATCCAAAAGACTACATGTTCAGTGGACTGAAGGATGAAACAGTAGGTCGCTTACCTGGAAAAGTGGCAGGACAACAATTTCTCATTCAAGACTGTGAGAACTGCAACATCTATATTTTTGATCACTCAGCTACCATTACCATCGATGACTGTGTTAACTGCATAATTTTTCTGGGACCCGTGAAAGGCAGTGTGTTTTTTCGCAATTGTAGAGATTGCAAATGCACGTTAGCTTGCCAACAATTCCGTGTGCGAGACTGTAGAAAGCTGGAAGTGTTTCTGTGCTGTGCCACTCAACCCATTATTGAATCTTCCACAAATATCAAGTTTGGCTGTTTTCAGTGGTATTACCCTGAATTAGCTTTCCAATTCAAAGATGCAGGGCTAAGTATCTTCAATAATATATGGAGCAACATTCATGATTTTACACCCGTGTCAGGAGAGCTCAACTGGAGCCTTCTTCCAGAAAATGCTGTGGTTCAAGACTATGTTCCTCTTCCAACTACTGAAGAACTCAAAACTGTACGCGTTTCCACAGAAGCCAATAGAAGCATTGTTCCAATATCCCATGGTCAGAGGCAGAAGACCAGTGATGAATCATGCTTAGTTGTTTTATTTGCTGGTGATTATTCTATTGCAAATGCCAGGAAACTAATTGATGAGGTAAGGAGAGGGAGAAGAGAAGTAGACATGGAGAGAACCACACTACTCTGGAGACTTTCTGGCTCTTTTCAAGTTATTAGAAATACTGGCAACCATCAAGTTTTAAGTCCCTGACTCCTGCCTTTTGTAATCAGGTTGTCTTGTAAGCAGGTTGCTTGGGCCTCAAAGAACTTTATTAAAAATATAATGTAGTTGCCAGGCATGATGATGCACACCTTTAATTTCAGCATTTGGGAGGCTGAGGCAGGTGGATCTCTGTGAGTTCAAGGCCAGTCTGGTCTACATAGAGAGTTCCAGGACAATGAGAGCTATGTATTGAGACCCTGTCTCAAAAAAAAATAGTGTAATTCAGTAAGCATTTGTTAGTACCAATTATGTGCAGGTTACTCTTACCATATCTTACTCATTATATACTGAATTTTTGTTTTCCACTTTTATTTTTTTAAAAACAGAGAAGCAGAGTCTCATAGCTCTGGCTGGTCTGGAACTATGTAGTACTGGCTGGCCTTGAATTCACAGTGATATGCCTGCCTCTGCCTCCAAAGTGCTGGGTTTAAAGGCATGCGCCACCATGCCTGGCTTGTTTTACACATTTTTGCTTAAATATCTTATAATTGATTGCAACTTAGAAATAATGAAATATAGTTGATGATGGAAATAAATACAGATAAAATTCTCTGCCCAGAAAGAATTTCCATTTTTTAAATATTTTGTTGTTTTTATTTTATGTGTATGAGTGTATTGCCTGCATTTATGTGAGTGTAGCCGTGTCGTGTAATGCCTCGGAGGTCAGAAGAGGGCTTCAGATTCCCATGGAACTAGAATTAAAGACAGTTGGTAACTGCCATGTGGGTGCTGGGAGTTGAACCCAGGTCCTCTGTAAGAGCAGTCAGTGCTCTTAACTGCTGATCCATCTCTCCAGCTAAGGATTTCCATTTTTTTTATCATAAATGATTTCCATAGACACTCAACAGCAGTACTGCATGACCTTTTATAATTCTTTACTGGGGAAATTCCTTTGGAGTTTTAATTGGATAGAGGTTGGAAATGACATTTTGGAATACAGCTTTTGGACCCTGCTGTGACAATATCATCCATATTGTGCACTTAGTTTCTGTTGCCCTTATTACCATAGACAGGAGGCTGGGGTAGAAAAGCAAGATGGGAGTTGGAATGGCAAAGTTATAAGATTTATGAGTAGTGGCTTTCAGTGAGCTCATTAAGTAGAAAAGCATTCCTTGGGTAGCAGCTTCCCCTTAAAAAGCATTTGAGGAAGGAGAGCTTAGGAACTACAGAAGCAGTAGTTTCTTTGATGGTAAGTGCTCAAGTAGGAAGCTGTACTGTTCAGGGCTCCATTAGGAATCTGCTTAAACTTGAAGAATCAAGCTTCCCGCAATGGATACATAAATAAATTTCTTTCTGAAAGGATTGTTTTCAGATTAGAGTGCATTAAAAGGAATTCTAATGTTGGAAGAAAGTAAAATGAATGCTTTTTTTTATAGCTATACCTCTATAATGGAGACAACCTATGTTTGAAACCTACAAAATATGTCTGAGGTATAGCTTTCAAAACTATAGACGCTAAAATATAATTTTAACACTTTGACATCTTCTTTTTTGGTGTTTTGAGTCAGGATCCTACTGTGTAGCCCCAGCTGGCCTAAAGCTCACTATGTAGACCAGACTGTGTCTTGAACTTTCAGCAATCCATTTGCCTCTGAATAACAAATGCGGGATTACAAGTGTGTGCCATCATGCCTGGCTTAAGACATTGATACTTTCTTTTGTTATACCAGTCTGATAAAAGCATGCTATAGCTGGGCATGGTGGTGTACTCAGTCCCAGCACTGGGTAAGCAGAGGCTGGGGGAATCTTTGTGAAATTGAGGCTAGCCTGGTCTATATAGTGAGTTCCAGGCCAGTTGGGGCTACAGGGGGATGCTGTCTCAAAAAGGCCAAAACAAACAAACAAAGCATGTTATGAGTCTGGTGAAATGTAGAAAAATAAGGTTCTTGAGGTATCTAATCACATGTTAATTCAACATCTGAGAAGTGAATATCTTCATTATGCTGTGTGGTAAAATTTTTATATGGTGAATTTTTACTACATATAGTTTTCAAAAGATTAATTATTCACATTAAATTCCTTTTGGGTAGATAATCAGGAGTGGACACAAAGATATTTTAACATGTTTAAAGAAAAAAGCCATCAAAGCAGTCTTTATGTATGAGTCATCAAATGTTTTTAACCTTTTGACTTTTGGTATCTGATGTGTGAAATGTTGGAAAGAATATGACCAGAAAGAGTGATACTCTTTTAGATGTCCTTCTGGAGTACAAAATAAAAACTCTACACTAACAATAATAGTAGCTAACACTTACTAGTGCTTACTGTATGTCAGGTACTGTTCAAAGGGATTTAAGTGAATTAACCCAGTATTCAAAACAACCCTATGAAATAGGTACCATTTGACAGATAAGGAAAATGAACCACAAAGAGGGTACCTTACAAAAAGGTCACTTGGCTGGTAAACACCAGAGCTGTGATTCATCCCTGGAGTCTAACAGTCTTCCTTTGTATTAACCCTTAAGCATAATGCTGATAAACTGTTGCACTGGTGAAAGAAAGCTGATGAATGCCTGGTGTAGGAATGAATGTGTCCCAGAGCATGTTGACTCCAGCCTTCCAACTCTGAGCCACTTTGGCTAGAGTATCTAGTTCTGAAAGCAAAATCTAGGAATAAAAGAGAAAAATGCTGCTTTTAGGGGTCATCCATGTTCCTGTAACTCTTCAGCCATGCCCTGTAAGCAAACCCAATAACTAATTGCTTCACACAAAAAGAAAAAAAGGAAAAGAGAGAGCAAGAGAGAGAGAATAAGAAAGAAAATGAGGACTGGAGAGATGGCTCAGCAGTTAAGAGAACTGACTGCTCTTGCAAAGAACCCGGGTTCAATTCCCAGCACCCACATGGTGGCTAGCAACTGTCCATAACTCCAGTTCCAGGGGATCTAATGCCCTCTTCTGACCTCCGCAGGCATTGCATGGGTGCCCTTTTCAAATCCTGAAATAGGATTTGAGCTTGAGGATTTGAGGCACTACACTCATACATATAAAAAAATTTTTAAAAAGAAAGAAAATGAAATTGAGAATTACATATGGAGAACATCAAAGCATGCTGAATAGCGAAGGCTTGCATATTATGTTGAGAGATTACATATTGTTTTAAATAAAATTCAAGTTCCCAGGGAAACTAGTCTGAGATGAAAATATAAAACTTTAAAATTTTTCTCCTAGCGCAACTATCTTAGGACAGCTTAGACTTGGAAGTGAAATTACAAACTCTGGTTTTGTGAAGTGTATCACAAAATTTCATTTCATATTGTTTTTACAAATTCAACATGTTTTTTGAAATAGGAAATAATGAAACATAAAGGGTTAGGAAGTTCTAGAAAGGGTAGTTAAAGCAGAA